CGCACACACACACCTACCTGCCTTGCTTCATAGCACTGCTCCTGCCTGGGACGCCCACCCTCTCTCCTCTGCCTTTCCAAAGCTCCCACCCTTTGAGGCCATGCCTCCTCGTCCCCCCCCCCTCCAGCCCACAAAGGCCCCTGAACACTCCAGCCCACAGAGGCTTTTCACCTCAGAAGGTGCTGCACTCAGCCTCAGGCAGCCCTTCTAACAAGTGTGTGTTGGCATTACATTCATGGCTTTTAAAACAGTTTTCTGTGTGTGTCTTGTCTCCCACTTTAATGGTGAGGACCTCCAGGGCAGGTCTTACTGTGTGGGAGAGCAGCATGGGATGATGGTCAGCCAATGTGGACCCAACGCTCCCCTTCCTGCCCGTCACAGCCCCTCGTGCTCTATCACGCCCCGCCTCTGACTCTCCTGCTCGCCAGGCCTGGCGGCACAAACCTCACTTAATCCTGCAACAGAGGTGAAGGTAGAGCCATAGGTTGGCTTGGCTGGCACAGGCAGACACACCCCATGGCACCCAGCTCCAAACCCAGCTGTGTGCTCCCACCCTCCGCTCACTGAAACCAGGCCCCTGGGAGACATAGCTCCCTGCAGAGGAGATGTGGCTCTGCTGGCTCAATCTGTTGTCCCAGGCAGGCCACCCCCATGCTCAGATAACCAAGAACTGGACCATTTCTACAGAGCTCAGAGGCTCAAGACAAGCTGCAGGGGAAAACTGGGCGCCCCATGTCACTAACCCAGGGTGCCTGCACGGTTGTCATCTTTTGGTGGCACCTGAAACTGGTGTGTGTTTCCTTTCCAAAGTGACAGGCTTTATCACCATAATGGATGCCCGCCTCACAGCACCTCCTTTTCTAAAACTTCAATTCCCTCCCGCTTGCCTGTTGCAGGAAGGTGTGTACATCTATGGGCTCTACATGGATGGTGCGGCCTGGGACCGTCGCAAAGGCAAGATCACGGAGTCCATGCCCAAGGTGCTCTTCACGCAGCTGCCTGTGCTGCACATCTTTGCAGTGAACTCCATCGCGCCCAAGGACCCCAAGCTCTACGTGTGTCCCATTTACAAGAAGCCCAGGCGGACTGACTTGACCTTCATCACCGTGGTGTATTTGCCAACAGACTTGTCCCCGGATCACTGGATCCTGCGAGGAGTGGCCCTCTTGTGTGACATCAAATAAGTTCATTTCCACTTGCTGGGGGACCAGGAGCCACGTCGACGGGCAGTGCTGCCAAGACACTCAAAGCTGGGTGTCTTCCGTCCCTACTTGTTGCTTGGTGACTCTTCCTAAATTAAAAAGTTGATATTCTATAATCACTCGTGTGTGTGTGTGTTTTCTCTCCTGTCAGTATTCAAACAGACAATTCTAAAGTCATGCTTGTTATTCTAGACAATCGTATTCCATGATCATTGTTTATTAGATAAAGTTTTATCTTCATGTTAGAACACTTTAGAAGGTTTGATTTTTTTTTTCAGCTGAGCCATCCTGCCACCTGTTGGCAGCTCAGCAGCAGCTCAGTTCGGGCCGGACTCAAACCGCTGTTGCTCAGAGCTCAAACCTTTGAGCAAGCTCTTAACCAATTGAGCCACTCAGCCAGCCCTGAATTTTTTAAAAATTGAAAAGTACTAATTTGTTACATCCTAATAGGAAGCTAGTAGATGCAAACTTTTCTTTCAAATAAAACCCATTTTTCCTTCAATAAAAACCACTCATGGGGCTGGCTGAGTGGCGCGTTGGTTAAGAGCTGGCTTGGAATGCCAGAGGGCCCCGGTTCGGATCCCACATATGAGGGCCAGTGACACTGCCCTCTACAGCTAAGATGGTGAACAACAGCTCAGCCTGGAGCTGGGCTGCCATGAGTCGCCGGTGACAGCATAGGCTGCAGCCCCTGCTGCAGTGGGCTGGCATAAGGTACCATGTGTAGTCAGCAGCCAGCGTGAGCGGGCAGCAGCCACCATGAGTGGCCGTCCAGAAGCCGGCGACTGATCTGCCTCAGCCAGGAAGAGCGCAATGATGGTGCCAACTTGGGCCAGTGAAGCAACGTCCTCC